CGTGTGGGCTTGGCTGGTGGGATTCCACCTAATGGCCTTCCCTAACCTCCCTGCTTGCCAATTAATGGCTTCACTGAGGCGCCACGCCTTCTGTAGCCGCAGGGCAGGCCACGCGAATCAGTTGGCCTGGATCTCCGGGGCCCTGCTGCAGGCTGCTGGGCAACATTCTTTATCTTAAATGACCTATTCTTCTCTTATCTTCAATCTGTTGGTAAGCCCATTCAGTAAAATTTTCATTTGAGATAGTCTGTTTTTGAATTCTAGAATTTTTGTTTGGTTCTTTTTTCTTTCTCTGTGGAGATTCCTAGTCTGTTTATTTATTATAATCATGACTTTTCTTAATATTCTCAAGCATATTTTCACTAGCTGCTTTAAAGTTCTTACCTGCTGATTCTAACATCTAGATTGGTTTCTAGTGACTGTTTTCTCTTGACTGTGGGTTAGTTTGCCCTGTGTCTTCTCGTGTATAGTTTTTGTTGCTGTTATTGATGTAGATGACATCATGTATTGAGTCTGGATCATGACATCTTCCTTTAAAGGGTATTGAGCTTTGTTCTGGCAGTCAGTTAAATTATTGCCCAATCCTTATAGTTTTGTTAGTATTATTATTATTACAATCCTATTAGAGAAAGTCTATTTCAGTTTTGAATTTAATTTTAGGGTATATTTCCTTTCTCTAGAGCTTAGTCCTTAGACTAAGACAGGCTTTTGAATGTTGATGCACTCAGTAAGTTCTTTTAACCTGGCTTGGTGAATCTTCGATGTTTTTCAGTGTTGTATGATCTCTGGCATGGCTTGCTGTCCATCTCCTAGTGCTATAGCCAGTGATCTTTCTTAGGATGCCTCATCTGTGTATGTGCTGCTCAGTTTTTGGCTAAAGACCTGCAGTGAATGCTCATGACAACTTCTGAAACCTCCCCTTCTCATAGCTCCCTCTTTCCAGCTACCCTGCCCACAAATACATCTGCTTCCTCAGCTCAGTAAGAACTACCACCACTCTGCCTGGGACTCATCTCCCAATTTTGCGGCTCTCAAGTATTCCTAAAGCAGAAAGCTTGGAAACATGGGATTCAACTTGTGAGTCTCCTTTCTCCCAAGGATCATAGTCCTGTGCTTACTCCCTGCTTGAAAGGACTACCTCGTATTTTATTCCATTTATAAATTTTGGCAGGAGGGTGAGTCAATTATCCTAGAAACGAAAATCTATGTGATATTCAATGTTAAATGAGTTAAGATGTTAAGAAAAAGTTCTGTTTAAACAATAAGTCTCTAAGCAAATACCTATATTACAGCGATATCTTTATTCAGCAAGGATTGGTAATCACGCAGACTTTTATGTATCATAAAACTGACTACACACCACACATAAGAGTATGCACATGTACACACACACACACACGATATATTCATTTTTTTTCTTCCCTTAGTCTCTCCTGTCTTCACCCCACCAATTGTTTTCAGTTAAACTTCAGCTGTTCTTTTCCTTATGCAAGGGAGAAATTTATGGGAAAAGAAAGGAACTCTTGTAGGGAAATATTCAGTCTGTTTTTTTCTCTTCTTCAAGGTTTAACTCTCTTTCTATAAGGGAGTGAAAGTCTGATTATTCCCAAAGGATTGTTTTGATGCTGCTCTACCTACTTTTGTAGGTGTTCAGGTGGCTTGATCCAGGAGCAAAGTTAAGAAATACCTGACCCTCTTATTTCTGAAATACCATGGAGGGGTAAAACCTACAAGCTGAGGCCAAATCATTCATTTTTATAAAACGTCTGGGGGGGAAAAAGTACTTTTGAAACAGCAATAAYCTGCCTTTGATAAGTCTGTTTTGTGTGATTAAAGAAATAAAGCCTGTTCCCTATGCTCCTATATCTATCTAGTGACTCTCCCTTGCCCTACTCTGTAATATGGAAGACTCTGGCACCCAGACTCTTAAAAGGGACATAATCAGAACAAAATTCCCTGTGTAGACTTTGTCAGATGTCAAAATGGTGGCCCCTATGCTGAGTTCTTCCACAGTCGTCATTAAGAGCGAGAAGCAGGCTAAAGTTAGGTGACAACTAGGCTTGAGCCCATGTGAACTGGAACGGAGAGATTCAGATGTGTAATAAGCATCTTTGCTTCCTGGTTTTTAGAGCTGGATGGAGGTTAAAGAAGGAATGTTGAGAACACTAACTACAGAAAGAGAAGGTAGACTACCTTGCTGGCTGCTATCACACCTCACAGGACTGTAACACTGTGTTAAGTGCATTTGGTATAGTTTGGATCTTGCATGTCCCCAAAGCCCCATGTGTTGAAGGCTCAGTCCCCAGCCTGTGGTACTCTTGGGGAGGTGGTGGAACATTTCAGAAGTGGGGCATAGTGGGAGGTCATAGGTCATTGGGAGGGGGGCTTTGAAGGGATGCCTCTTCCTCTCTTGCTTCCTGGCCATGAGGTGAGTGCCTTTGCATCATGCCCTGATTTGCTATCCCCCAACCAAAGAGCTAAAAGCAAGGTGACCTCTGGATCATGGACTGGAACCTCCCAAACTATGACTCACATTAAATCTTTTTTTTTTTTTTTTTTGAGAGAGGAGAGAGAGAGAGAGACAGACAGAGAGAGAGAGAGAGAGACAGACAGAGAGAGAGAGAGAATTTTCAATATTTATTTTTTAGTTCTCGGCAGACACAACATCTTTGTTGGTATGTGGTGCTGAGGATCGAACCCGGGCCGCACGCATGCCAGGCGAGCGCACTACCGCTGAGCCACATCCCCAGCCCACATTAAATCTTTTATCTCAGGATTTGTCATAGTGGTGGAAAGCTGAATGACACAGCAAAACACCTGGTTTACTGAGGTTTTTGATGTGGTTGTGTCAGTGTACATTTTCAAATTAGAAATTCTCTCTCCTTTAAGGGGCTACTTTAGGGCTAGAGTGCTCTGAAATCCAGTATTGATAAAATTTTATTGTTTTCAATGATTAAGATGAATCAAAATTAAGTGTGCTTTGAATGGAAAAAAAACTTTGAATATTTAAAAATTCTGATAACCTTTTCGATTGTCCTTACTCCAGATTTTCTGAATGCTCCCCTCCCATAAACCCTTTAATTCTCACATCCCAACATGCTTTTATGTAGTAATGCAGAGAAAAGTAACAGAAGCTGAGAGAAATTTTATTTTTCTTTTAAATGGAAGGAAGGAAAAGGTGGGATTGCATTTTTATAAATATCTATAAATACAGAGTGATAGGCAAAATCTTCCAAATAAATAAATAAATATGGCCATATGCTAAGGGACACAAGGAACTGCAGGGGCTACCTTGGCTCTGCCAAAAAGAAGACCCCCCCAATGGCGGTCCTGGGTTTCTGAGATTACAATCAGTTTTCTACCAAAGTCCTTTTGGGATTTCCCATCTAATTATCAGGAAGGGGAGAGCATCTATAGCTACTGTACAAGACAATGTCCCCAACAGGAAATGAAAACCATGAAAGAAATTATTCACCACGCCCCACTGTATATGCTGCTGTACACAGTCTGAGTATGGGAACTAGTCCTTCAAAATCATCAGATCAAAGTCGTCGTCCAGTGTTTCTCTGATCAGGAAAAAGAATGGGTCAATCTCTACGTCTGGGTACATGAAGGTGGCAGGAAAAATAAAAGGTGGGAAGAAGTTGGAATCTAGTTTGTTAATATTCTGCACTTTAGGTGGTCATTTTAAATAGAGATAGAAAAAAAGGGACCATGCAGGAAGAGTCTAAGTCACTGGGAAAGACTAAGATGAGGGCTGAGCATTAGTTCCCATCCAGCACACCTCAGCTTTCTCAAAGTCAGGCTGATTTTTCCTCCGCACAGCACTGGGGCTCCTGGGACTAAAAGCTCTCTTAACATAATGCCCCAGGAACTTCCAAGTGGATGGAGAGCCTGCCATCAGCCTAGGAGTGCTGTAACTAATCCTGTAGCCACCTCTGCCTCTTCTATAATTTGGTTATTAGACTTCTTGCCCCAAGTCCTTGATTCCACTTCACTTACAAAAAAATTGCATTTTTTTTTAGTCCATGGAAAGTCCAACCCAGAGCAGTTTCAGTGTTCCCCAGACACGTTTTTGAAATTCATGTCAAAGGTATTACTACTCAACCTGCAAGTAGAGGCATAATTAAATGCCTCTTAGGAGAGAGTGAATGTGTTTCCCTTTTGCAAAATCCTGGCAGGTGGGGTAGATTTCCCATGAACCAAAAACTAAACTTATTCTTTGGGCCTAATTCATTAAAGCCAAAAATGGGGCCAAGGAGTGAGGCTAAATTATCAGGCACTTGGGAACTAATGCAGAATCACTCTTGGTCCTCTGGCTCTAGTTGTGTAAAAGGAGAGAGGGAGGCAGAGCGCAGCCACTCTGCAAAGGGGTGGAGATTTCTGCTTCAGTTCCAGGAGCATTCTCCATGTGGTTTTGACCAGCCCGCCTCAGTCTCCTTGGATAGCCTTTCCCCAGAGATACTCCAGGCAGAACCAAAACTTGAAATTAGTGTTCTCCTCAACTCGCCTGGTTCAGCTCTTAATGTCAAGGTGTGCAAACTCAAATGCCAGTAGGATCCAGAGAAGTAACACAGAGCGCTGGAGAAGCTGCTAGATGGCCCCTTCCCCACACCATGCAAGTATGAAAACCCAACCTGCCACTGCTTCTTCTAAATGCTGGACTGATGTAGAGAAGAGGCATAGGGAAGGGAAGCGGGGGTGGTTGGAATCCCTTTTCTTCCCTTTAATGGGACATTTACCTGTTGGGGTTTCTTATACCAAAAGGCGGGGGTGTAGGGTGGGGGAAATGAAACTCCAGTACTCAGGCTGCAAAGGCTGATTCTCAGGGGACCCGCGGGAAAGGGAATGGAGGGAAGCAGGGATTGCACGCACCACCTCCACCTTGACCTTGGAGTGTGAAGGGGGCTGGGTCCTTTAGAGAAAGCTGAGTGGGCGGAAAGGTGGGTTAAGGAGGATCTTTCCGGTTTCCCTAGATGAACTTGGGGAACGGGTGGCACCTTTCCACGCCCACCCCCCCTGCGTGCGTGTTGACCCTGCTGCCACGGAGCACGCCCAGGGGGTCGCTGGCCACCACGCTGTTGTCCTCGGCACTCGGGAGCTCCTGGGAGCAGGAGGCCGGCGCCGGGGTCATGCGGGGCCGGGGCTTGAGCACGTTCAGCGGGTCCCTCTCCGAGTCGTCCTCTGCGCTCCGGGTGTGCCGCCGGCGCGGCGTCGGGGTGTTGAAGTGGATCAGCGGGACGAGGTTCCTCCGGGACAGGAACTGGGAGTAGGGCGGCGGGTTCATGCCTGGAAGGAAGGCCCTCTTGGCCCGGCCCAAGCTGACCAGGAAGTGGTGCTGCGGGGAGTGGTAGATGTCGTAGCCGTTCTCCAGCGTCTGGTGCCTGAACCTGCAGTTGTCCGGGTTGAAGTAATGCTGGAGGGGCGAGAGGGCAGAGGGTGAAGGCTGGCTGGGGGAGGGCCTGACCCCAGGCCCCCAAGGGCTCAGGCGCTGTGTACCCTGCCCGAAGCTTGGGAGTGTTTTACCTGTTCAGCTTTCCCTTGGCTCCTTTCTTGGAAAACAACGGATTTCCACTAATGCACTCCAAGCTGTCCAAGCACTGAATATGGTTCCAGTCTTTAGACTAGAAGACCTGTGCTCTGGGTCTTTACAACTCAGTGCCTGAGACCTGGGCAGGCCTGGCACTTGGCTTGCTAGGGCTGGGCCCAGGAACGGGGACACTCCTTGTGCCTAGTTTCTGGAGGGAGGGCTAACAATCCCCCTCTAAAAGGTTTCTACCTTTTAGAGCTGTTCTGGCTGAAAGTTGGCTTGTGTTTGTCTCCTTGCCTGGAGAAAGGAGGAGATGGGATGTAGTGTTGGGTCAAACATGAATGAGGATACTGGCAATGGAGAGAGAATGTCCTTGGGGATTAGGGACATGAACTTGCTAACATATGAATTGGGTTTAAATCCTCATTCTGCTACTAGTACTAGGTTTTTATTGAGTTCCTATGAGGGCCTTTATATACTATTCCACTTAATCCTCAGACTCCACAAAGTATTTGTACAGATGAGGATGATCTATATGCCTGTATGGGCTCAGCCCGTGTTTATCCACTCTGACCAGATAGATGTTGGTCCTGGGACACAGCAGTGAACAAAATAAAGTCCTCACTCTCAAGAAATTCCTAGTGGGTATGCTGGTTGGTAACAGAATCCTAGGGTAAACAATCCTTCTCTTTGACCATCTCAAAATCCTCTGGACTACACAGCAAGCTTTACTTGGGAAACCCTGTGCTTACCAGTCTTAAGGACCAGAGATCCCCACTAGGGCACAGGTAGTTAATTAAGAGATCTTTAATGGGAGGGAGCATTCCAGATCATGTGGTCCATTCCATTTCACTTTTTCCAAGGGAAGGACTGGAGAAGTGAGAGGACTTGCCCAAGGTCACAGTTGGTAACAGATTCCAGAAGACACCACTGGCCTTTCAATGTTTTCTTTCTTTTTTTTTTAATATTTATTTTTTAGTTCTCGGTGGACACAACATCTTTATTTGTATGTGGTGCTGAGGATCGAACCCGGGCCGCATACATGCCAGGCGAGCGCTTGAGCCACATCCCCAGCCCCCTTTCAGTGTTTTCTAAACTATGTTGCAGCATGAATTTACACAACTTAAGAACCTACAAATACATTCAGGGGGCCACACTAGATGCAAAAGTAGGAAACAGTAGGAAGAACAGACTGGAGAAAGCCTGGGCGGAAGAACCAGGCTGTAACCCCCACCCCATACAGCTGCACATTTGATACTTAGTCTGGATAAAGTACCAAGTGAAAACAGATCACCCAGGGACACTGAAAGTAGAGCCTTTAAACTAGAAAGTCTATGCTCTGCCAAAGAAATAATTGCAAATGGTGACCAACATAAAAAGAAACTCACTGATCCAAAAATGTTGCCTCTGAAATCCATACAGAGGAATCTCCTACTCATCACACCTGTGATCACCACCAAGCCAGCATCCTCTGATCTGATCAGCAGGGCACCTGTGGAGAAAATTATTCAGGTCACAGACTCAAGTTTCCACCTCATGAAACCTCCTTGTGGGGAAGACTTCACATAACTCCCTTCCTGCTTTTGTTCCCCCTCATTTCCTGTGGCTCCTTTCCCTGCTCATTCACCTCTCACTTCATCCTCTTACCTATATGGGGACCAATGGAGCTCACCACTTTCTTCTTTTTATTTTTTAATATTTTTTTTTAGCTGTTGATGGACCTTTATTTTGTTCATGCATTTATATGTGCTGCTGAGAATCGAACCCAGTGCCTCTCATATGCCCGGCAAGTGCGCTACCGCTGAGCCCCAGCCCCAGCCCCTCACCACTTTCTTTTTCCTGTGCCCCACACACATTTCTCTCTCTCCACCTGAATTTTATTTCTCCCCTTGCCTGGCGAATACCTCTTAATGTCTGTGGTAGTGGACATGTCCTCCCAAGCTTTCTGCTTTTGTTATTTTTTATTTCTATGCTAAGATGTCTTTCAGGGATCCAGCTTGTTTAGAGAGTCTCACATTTCCTGTCAAAAAACAAACAAACAAAAAACCCCCAAACCTTTCCTTTTGCCTACCAGGATATTTCTGTGTGCATCTCATTTGACTTCATTTGACAGCCCCCCACCCCATGGTGGTGGTTAAGGGGGGGTTGCCCAGCCAGGAATTAGAATCTGTTTTCTGCAAACACCCCCTGGAGAGGTTGTAAATGCCCATCATCTGTGCCTAGCAAGTGGTGGGGCCTCTGGGGGAGCCTTGGGGTGACTTGAAGTCCTGGGCTCCTCTCCTACCCTATGAGGGCTCAATATAAAGATCTCTGGGGGCAGTGGCTGGGCAATGATTAGACTGAGCCTGATGTGGCCTGAAGTTGGAATGACGTGGGACACAGGGATGGAGGGTGGAAGCAAACCCAGAAGGAAGGGAACAGAAGAGAGCCAAGAAGAGCAGTTAATTTATTTGACTGAAGGTTAGCCTCCAGGGAAGCTTCTGGAAAGTGTGGTGAGGTGTGGGAGGTACAGAAGATATTTAAATTCCTCCAAATTGGTGACTGTCTATGTGTCTCAATTGTATGGTCAATTTTGTGGTTAAACTCTGAGGAAAAACATAAGGAATATATAAGAGGTAGTTTCCATCCTATGGCTTTTCAGTCCTATCGAGAAAAAATTACACTTAGTAATGATTTTGGAGTGGTTGCAAAAGTGTTTTACATATTTTCAATTCTCAAAATAGCTGCTGTATTGCTGTTAATATATTATTTTAGTAGTAGTAGAAGCATCCCAACTTAACTGATAAAGCAGGATTCATCACAAGCATGAGAAGACAAAAATCAAATGCAAAATACATGCTGTAGGGCCCAAAGACACCAAGTTTCAGTGCCCCTGGGGTGCAGGGAAGAGGCACTGAGCCCAGAGACTTGGACTGTGGTATCAATTCTACCACTTAAGAACTTGTGGGCTCCAGTAACTTTGCTTTAGCCTGGGTTTCCTCAGCTTTGAAATGAACAAAAGTACAGCCATCCTGCCCACATTGTAGGTTATCACAAGGATTGAATGGGTTAATGGTTGCCAAGGCCCTTGACAGTGTTGGGCATCATGGTGCAGCTGACCTGCTGTTTGTGCCAAACCCACATGCGATCATCATGCTGGTCTGATGCTTGGGGCCAGCGCTGGACATATGCTCCTGGTCCAGGGCCAGTCCCAGTAGAAAACAACCTGCAGCTACTGTGGGTTGGGGTGGAGTGGGGTAGGGTACACAGGCTCTTGAATCAAACCAATGTAAGCCAGTGTGAACATTTAGAAAATGTAATTTAGATGGATTTTCTCCCCTTTGTGTTTTTAGGAGGCATGTTTTCTCAGTCTGCACACATCCAAGGGAAATTTCAGCAGAAAAAAGCAAAAAAGCACTCTGGCCGTGGAAGTCACCTGCTCTCCCTGTTGGCACTTGGCAGGGTTAAGGAACATTATTTCAACAATGGAGGTGTCTCATGCCTATGACCTTGGAAGGGCATGGGATTTGGGATTCGGATGTCCTCTAGGTTATTTACTACCTGTGTGGCCCTGAACCAGTTACATTCTTTAACTTTTGTTTTTCATGTCTGAAATGGAGGTGTTTAAACCACCTCTAGTCCTGCTGAGGATGTAATGAGATGAGTTTTCACCCATTTAAAGAGATTTCTAAATGCAATTTAGAAAGTAACTGTTACTATTACTGTTTCATTTCAATTTCTGCTAAAAAGTAGAACATTATCTGCTTATTTCTACTTTCATAGCCAGTATGTGATAAATAAGATGGTAAATGTAAAGGGTTTTGAGCTCCTCAAAAGAGAAACTATGAAGAAGGCTTAAAGACCCTGAGTAGTTCAGCTTCAAGTACAGAAGAATTGGAGAATGGAGGAAGCAAAAAAATTAGGATCGAGGAATTGATATTAACTAAACGAGGGCAGGGGATACAGCTCAGTGGTTGAACTCTTGCTTAGTATACGTGATATCCTCAACACCTCAGGGAGAAAAAAGAAAGAATGGGATATTAATTAATAGTAATGAGTGTCTATTTCCTGTTGTTTCTACAGAGTTAGATTAATGGAGAATAGGAGGGTGGACTTGTTCACAGTGGAACAAGTGTGTAGGTACTGGGGAAGCCCCCTGACTTCAGCTCACTGAACCCCAGGGGCTCTCGTAGAATCTCATAGATGATTTCATTTTATTAAGATCAGTGACCCCAAGAGGGGTTGAACACTCAACCCTTAATCAGTGATCTACTAAAACACAATAGTAAAAGGAATCAGATTTCACTGGAAATGTATAATTATTTGGGAAGGGAAAATAACATTCTTTTCCATCAGTGTGGAGAGCACTGCTTTATCAATGATGTCATCCAAAATCTTTTACCAGACTTATCTACATGCATTAGTGTTTCTTCTTTCCTTTCTTGGTAACTTAATCTTAATGCACACTTTTTTTCCTTTTTTTTTTTTTTTTTAAATACACCTGATAACTGATGGAACATCACCAAAGCTTACATATCAGTTAGGGAAAGTAGGTGCCTCTCCTGTAGCCCTGACTCTCAGTCACCCACCCCAAGCTAGTATGTTCATCTTCCCCCCCCCCAAAAAAATAATACTTGGATGGCTTGTATGTCAGACAAAACAAACCTAAACACAATTTGTGTGTGTGTGCACGCGCATGCGCGCGCTCCACGCATGCACACGGAAATCTGAAGTCCATTCAGTCCATTTTGCTTCTTAGTCATTTTAATGCACCTAGTGTTGAGTGCATTCTCCAATGTAACTGGTTCAGGGCCACACAGGTAGTAAATAACCTAGAGGACATCTGAATCCCAAATCCCATGCCCTTCCAAGGTCAGAGGCATGAGACACCTCCATTGTTGAAATAGAGATTTGATTGCTCTTTTATTTCTTCTGCTTGAACTACATTGGATCATCTTGTATTTTTCTGAATTCTTAGAGTAATTTTAACATGTTCTCCAAAAATAGAACAYCCTTCTTCATACCCATCTCCCTTCTCACTCCTTTGTCTCTTACCTAGGCACACAGCAAAGGACGGTCATTTGAATGACAGCTACTTGACAGACTATTGTGGACTGTGATCCAWCTTTCATCAAACCCAATCTTTAAAAACATTCTGGTTGTCTCATGTTGTCAATGAGTTTGCAGATAGCYCAATTTGTTACTGATTAGACACCTTTCAGCTCCACTGACCAGAACTGAGAACCTATATGGGGCACCACTGAAGCACCTCATAAACCTGTTGGATGGATGGATGCATGGATGGACAGATGAGTGGACAAATAGATTGTATACCTGGTCAGACTCACCAAGACAATGTATCTGGGCAATCTGCCTTTAATACATTTCTTCTTAATAATTTTAACAAAATCCGAATACTAGAAGCTCAGAGTTGGAAAGAACCTCTGAGTTCATCTATTYCAATCCTTGGAATGATACAGGAATCTTCATAACATCCCTAGTTAGCCCTGCTCAAAGTTCATGAGCTAAAACTTAGTGTCTATTGATCATCTATCTGGCTTCTTTTCCTTTTAGATACCTTGCCTGTCGTTCTGTACATTTTTTTTTTTTTTTAAATCTTGGGACAAGGCAAAGTGCAAGTGGTTTCTATTATGGGAAGAGTATTTTAGTCAAGACAAATTATTAAATTATTCGTGTTGAAAGAAATTAGTAAATACTAATTAGGGAGGTGGCATACCTTTCTTTCTTTCTTTCTTTCTTTGGTACTGAGGATTAAGCCCTGGGGTGCTTACTTAACCTCTGAGCCACATCCCCAACTCTTTTTTACATTTTATTTGGAGACAGGGTCTTGCTGAGTTGCTTAGGGTCTGGCTAAATTGCTGAGGCTGGCTTTGAACTCAAGATCCTCCTGTCTCAGCCTCTGGAGCCACCAGGCATGTGCCACAATACCACCTTGCCCCCGCCCCTAAGGTTTTACAAAAAGCCTACARATACCATTAAGGGGTTCAAGGCAAAGAGGCTACCAGGCTGGATTAGCCCTCTGGTCTACCCCAAGGCTTCCCCCCCAGGTAGACAAARGAGAGTTCCCCCATTTCCCAACTTCCCAGCCTGAAGCCCCTACTCACTGTAGATGGTCTGATGGGGTGTGCCATCCACTTGGCCGTCCCTGTGGATCTGCAGGTGGTAGCTGTTCCTGGCCGTGGCGGTGTACAGGTGAGTCAGGCCACCCCAGTTGGAGGCCAACAGTGRAGAGGTGTTGGGATAGGCTCTGATGATRCGYGTGCTGCAGACACYGCACAGAGCCCAGACCAGGAGCCTSAGGCGGGTCCCCAACATCRCTGTTTTCTGAATGGCTAGTGCTGAGTTTGAAACCTGACACTCCCTCCTTGACTCCCCAGGCCTAGCCCTGTCTTCTYCRTTCTGGCAAATASCAGAGTGAGGATCCTAGGCTGGATTCCCTCCTTTCCCCCCTCAGACTTTTAAAGGGTAGCAGCATGACATCAAACAGGAAAAACTCCACTGTCCACATCCTCTGTGTTATAATCAGCCATTCAAAGAAAGTGCAGAGACTTCTGAGGCTCACAGAAGGCACGTCAGTTACACACACACACCACACACACACACACACACACACACACACACGTACACACACCCCTCAATTTCAGACCAGTGCTCCCAAAAGTGAGTTATGTGTGGGCAAAAGTTATCTATGACACTGTGTCATCTGATGACCTGTCCCACTTCCACCAGGAAATGTGAAGGCAGCCAGCGGTCCCAAAAAATCCAGCTGCAGTCATGTAGTATCCCGCCTCCTCGGCTGGCTGGTCATCTCTCACCCATTCTACTCATTTTGGTTTCCTCAGTCCTTTTAACTCCAATTGCCATGTATGTACCCGGTGCTTTCTGTGTGTGCAGCATCAGGTGGGTGTCTTGATGGATATAGAGATATGTGACGCCATCAGGCAAGTGGCATCCGCTGAGACTCCCACCTCAGGAAAGATATTCGAGCTGGGATCGGGGACACAAAACCCAAAGTTGCCATTTGGAAAGATTTCAAAGTGGGCAAAGGAAAACAAGGCTTTGAGGTCACCGAAAATACCAAGGTCCGGTTTCTCAGTTTCCCTAGCTGGGAGATTTAGGGCAACTGAACTGGTAATCTGGGTCTCTCCAATAGGCAGGAGATKAAATCAGAGGCTTATGGGGATTAGCAGGGCTGCTGGCTGAGCAGAGGCGGGCAGAGTGCTGGAAGCACCCTCAGCAGAGTGTTCACACGGGGTGTCTACCTCTATGATTGGTGCCTTCTTGCAGAGGATGCTCCCAGGAATGTCCTGTGGAACTACTCGTCTGACACAGGGTTGTGGCCGTGGGGTGGTGGTGGTGGTGGTGGTGGTGGTGGTCTTAGCACATACAATCCAACGAGAGGCAACCAACCACACACTGGAATTAGTACACAGAAACCAAGCCCCATCATTGGGCTGCTCACTGTCCCATTCCCTTCCAGAGTTTCCAGAAAAAACATGCCCCAGGAAGACTGCCATTCTTTCAGTTTCTCATTTTACTGAGCATATACTACAAATAAGAATAAAGCATAAAGCTAGACATTGTTRTTAATTAAAAGAGAATGAGATATGATCCTGTCTCAATCTAATGGAGGAGGCAGATAAAATTAAGTAACTATCATACCAAGCATGCACTGTCAGACAGACTCGGGCAAGCAGAAATGGCCTTTGTAACCCCACGGGGGTACAGGTTTTTATAGTTTACAAAGTATTTTCAAATCAGCTAGTTCATTTTAACTTTACTGCAAACTATGAGAGAGGTACTTCAGGTATTGTTACTATTTTAATGTTATTTGTGAAGAGATGAAGATGTCGGTTGAGCAAATAACTGGTAGAGGAAGGACAGGATCTTTTGATTCCCTGTGCTGCTTCTCTAGTAAGAATCACAGGGGAAGCAAATGCTCAAGAACTTATCCTTCCACTTCCTATTTTAATGCTTGTAGTAATTWACTTAATCTTTAGAATAACCSTTTAAGGAGGTACTGTTATTCCCTTTATAGAGATGAGGAAACTGGAGCACATGGCTTAAGTAACTTGCACAAATACACAACTAATTCATGGAAGAGGATGGATCTGAATCCAGGTCTGACTTAGCTCTGCKTAGCTCTTTGCAAGATGTGCAAGCCCACCCAGTATGTTACAGCCAGAGCTATGACACTTGGTAAGTACAAGTAGCAATGAGACAGAGTGCTTTTCTCTAGTAAATCAACGTTTTTACCCAGGGTATGTCTCTAGCATATACGTGCTTGTCTCTAGGGTTTAAATGGAAGATGGATAATATTTAATGCTTATGTCTAAAACAGACTTCCTTCATAGAAGTCACAGAATGGTTWATAAATACAGCATCATAGTTTAGCTAAATGAAGAAACAGCTAGCTTTCAGAATTGAAATGCACACCATTCAGAAATATTTTCCAATTGATAACCCTGTATTTCCTCTTCCTGGTGCAAATGGTAGAGGGATGGGAAGTACCTGTGAAGCAATCAGCAGCTACTGAGAAACTTCCCTGAGAGACGGGAGAGAGGGATTTACAGGAATAAAAAGTAGACCAAATTTATCTTCTGAGGTTGACAATATGGTTATGCTGAGAAAAACTTTGCTCATGGCCATGTTCTATGTAAGAGCTAAATTACAAGGACGTGTAAGAAATGCCACAGGCATTCACGAGGGAGAGATTTTGGGGGTGAATGCTGGACTCAAGGTGCTTTGGGGAAGGAGAGAGTGAGCTTTGTACAAGGGGCAGGGTGTTGACCAGCACCCAAGGCACAGAGGGGAGGGTGTGCAGGTGTCCAGAAAGGAGTTCCTGGGGTGACTGTGGATGGGGGACATGTCCCTGACCAGTTGAACTCCTGCTATTAGGAAAGAGAATTGTGCCATCACTACATTTCCAAAGACTTTCCTCCAAGGAAAAGCCGTGAATTCACAGCAGCTGGTTGTGAAGGCAGAGTGTGGCCTGGGGAGTGGGTTTATTTCCTGGGAGTAGGTTTATAAGGGGTCTGGGGAGGGAGTGGGGGGTGATGAGACAGTCCCCACTTGGAGAGAGTAAAGGGAAATGCAAGACTGTCAGAATAATTCTTTGCATTTGTGATACAGAACAGTTGAGAGCAAAGATGAGAGTTACCCAGTTGCATGCAGAGAGGCAGAACTTCCACCTCCCTGGCTGAAACTCCCTACCAAAGGGCTCCAGACCTGGTTTCCCATTAGAATCACCCTTGGAGCTTTAAAACCCAAAACATCCCAGGGCTGATCTTAAATCTACAGTGGTGAAGGACAGCTATTTGTGCCTTTCCTCGCAGAGCCACCTGGGAGTGTCTGATATTTAAGTACTTATTAGTGAACAGGCTCTGAGTCTCAACCACACACTGGAATTAGTACACAGAAGCCAAGGCCCCGTCGCTGGACTGCTCACTGTCCCATTCCCTTCCAGAGTTTCCAGCCTACATGTAGATTAAGATGGGCCTTTCTGTGGAATCTGAGTAGTGCATGCCCGGTCGGTCAGTGCTCTGTGCCCACAAACAGCCTTTAACTGGAGCCTGTGTGGTTTCTGAAGCTCCAGAGTATGAGGGGAAAGACACCGGTGTGTGGGTTCCTTGTCTCTGAATCTAGAGGCTTCCCTTGGCCACGGTTCAGGATCTGGGAACTACTGCGACCTTAGGAGCCCAAAGTGAAACAGATGGCAGATGTGAACAGGAAGCTCATGGAGGAGGCTGCTGATTTGCACTTCTGGATGTCCCCACCCTCAGTTCCCAGTGACTGCCAGATGCAACAGAAAGGCTGGTCCCAGGGCAGGTGTGCCAACGTGCTTATCCGCCTGCCTTGGGAGCCCCTGCTCTGACCTCAGGAGAGTCCCCCTGTGTGGAGGCCTCTGGTCCAGGCCCTGCACTTCCACTCAGAGGACCCAGCTCTAAAGATGAATTGGGGGTGGTAGAGCTCTCTAATCCTTCAAGGTCACCCATTCCCTTCATCTCCTGTCTTCTTTTTCTCAGAATC